GGCAGCCATCTTCGCTACCGCATCCAGCTCTGAAATTGTTCTCTGTATGATTGGTCTGTCTCATTTCCGATCAATAAGTTGAGATGGGTCCGTTTGATGAATGGGTCTCCCCTTATGTCCACGATGATGTTCTCGTCGAACTATTTGAAAATTTGAACTGAACTTGGATTTGAACTGAACTGAACTGAACTGAAAATTTGAACTGAATTTGAACTGAACTATTTGAACTGAACTTGGACTATTTGAAAAGGCTGACCTCAACGGACTCATTATATACTGACCTGAATTACAATACGGTCCAATGAATGCTTTCACTTGTTGCAAATGAAACATATCGGTCGCAACAGCGACCCCTTCGAAAGATTCGCCGCAACCCATTTTTGTTATAAGCCTGAAGTGATCAAGCACTCTGAACAACGACCACATGAAGATCACTCGAGCATATCATCCAGTGCTAAACTGTGAACATTTTCTAAAGGTTTCTTTTCTGATTATCACTGTATTGCTTTTATTCTTCTGTGTTGCTTAGTGGAGATGTGAATAAATCGCTTGTTATCACTTCAATCAATCGCTTCAAACAAGCACGATATGTCAAACATTTCCTTAAGACGTTTTCGAACAAGGCATTAAATTTTTAACAATTGAATAAATTCGAACTCAATATCGAAGTCATCATCAAGAATGCCATCACTCAGAAGCTCTTTACGCGATATTTCGAGGACTTTTTCGCTGTTTGGCATCGACTTGATTGAGCCAATATGACCCACGCGTACTTTGAACCCATCATTCACAGTCGTCATCCAACAACACGCTATCGTCACCAGTGGAATAAATTCTAATTTCGATTTCATTCAGCCAACTGAAAGCTTTTTCCAGTTACCTGTAGGAACTGTATGATCATATAATTCAGCCGAATCCTTGTGAGTAGAAAAGGTATCTTGGGTAGAAGAGCAAATATTTATAAATGTTTACGAGAGATGTCATTTCAGAGCTCACCATGGAAAAACTAGAACTTTCAAGTGTTCAACAGCTAATAGAAAATGTATGACGCCAGTAAAAATTATAATTTTTGATAACGAAAGTGTCGTCGTCCATAATTGAGGATAATAACAGATATGATCACGAAAGTCTGTCAGGAAATAAACTCAGCGAACACCGAACGATAAACACACCNGAAATCCGTTTAATTGTAAAAGATCTTCGTAATGTATTGCTCTAAGTGCTTTAATCAATCTCTTATAGACATGATCACTTGTTATTTAATAAAACATAGCTTAATAATGTTATCCTTGCAAGACCATTGTAAAACCTAGCATATGAGCTTATCCTTCTTAGTGCGTAGACCTTTCAAGAACCTTCATATTTTTCAATAACTGAATTTAATGAATTCGAATGAATTCAATGGATTGTTTGAATTGTTTTCGGTGATTTAACATGGAATCATCGTAAGAATTGAATCAATTCATGTGTACCAGGCTTTAGAGATTCTTTAAGCGTATTCAAACCATTTGTGAGCAAAACAAATTTTGTGCCTCATATTCAAGGGAGAATGTAAATGCTTCGGAAATTCGAACTGAAAAATATGAACTGAATTAATTTCTTTCCAAAACAAAATATTT